CTTCCTTCCTTCCTTCCTTCCTTCCTTCCTTCCTTCCTTCCTTCCTTCCTTCCTCCCTCCCTCCCTCCCTCCCTCCCTCCCTCAGCTGTTCCTGCCTTCGATCCATTTGTTCCCTTGTCATTGGTACCCTCATATGCATTCATCAATTTATTGATTCAAGGAGCACACAGAACACTACAGGCCCTCTGGGCTGGGGGTGGCCCCTCCTGGTGGTTCTGTGTGACGGGGTGAGGTGGCATGACGTGGGTTGACGTGGCTGTGTTCTCCCCTTGTAGGGCTGCATGGAGAAGGTGCAGAAATGGCTGCAGGACAACCTAGGCGTCATCCTAGGCGTGTGCGTGGGCGTCGCTGTCATTGAGGTCTGGCTCCCCTGCCCTGCAGCCCTCCCCATGCTCTGTCCTCCCAGATTGTCCCTGCTCTGCTCATGTGCTCGGGGAGGCGGAGGCCTGCCTGTCAGCTTCTAGAGGCCCTGCGGCAAGCCTGGCCTGAGCACTGCCCCTCCCTGGCCCTTCTGCTGCCCGAATCACAGGCTGGTCATGAGGCTGTAGTTGAGGATCCACTTAATCTGGATCAAACCCTGTGTGCTGACCCGGACAGCAGGGGCCTCTGGGCCACTGGGCAGCCCTGCCTCCTCTGATTCTCACCTTCCTCCTCCACAGCTCCTGGGGATGGTCCTGTCCATCTGTTTGTGCCGGCATATCCATTCCGAAGACTACAGCAAAGTCCCCAAGTACTAAGTCAGCTGCTGTCCCCACTTCCCTGCCTGGGGCTCCTAGAGGTGTTGCTGGCCCCCTCCTCCAGGCCTGCCCCCCACCTCACTGCCAAGGCCCCTTGTCCATCTCGTGCCGGCTGGAAGTGGAGAGCTTTCTGGAGCCTGGACCCCTTTCCCTGCCTTTCTGCCCTCAGCCTTGAGCCCAGCTGTTCGTGGCACCTCAGCTCACTGCCCACCAGGGTTCTCTGAGCAACTCAGAGAAAATGCTTCCCACAACATGTCTGCACAGGTGGGCTGGCTTTCTACCTGCCTTCAGGGCTGTGTATATTGTATGTGGGAAAGTGTATTAAAAATAAGGGGTGGGCGGGACAAGGCACCCTGGCTGTCAGGGGACTGCCCACTGCGTGGGTCAACATTTTTTCCACTATGATGATATATCTTTGATTTTTACATGTTCATTAAAGATTGTAGGAGAGGGAGGGCTTTACCTGACATTAGGGGTGGCACCCATTCCCTAGGCCTGACCCAGCCCCACCCAGGCAGCTCAGATCTGCCTGGGCCACGAAGCAGACGCAGAGCCTAGATGAGCTAAGTCAAAGGGGATGGAGGGGTGGGGGTGTCTCAGGCCCTGGACTGCTTAGGGAATCAGAGGGGTGCATCCTCGGGGTGTGGCTCAGAGCTGGCCCTGCCTTCGCCAGGACCCTGAACTGTTCAGGGAACAGGGGAGGATGCTTTCTCCTCTCCTCTGGCCCCTGGGGAGTTGGGTGGGTGAGGCTGTGCCTTGTAAGGGAGTGGGGAGGGACTTCATGCACAGTTCTGTAAAGCATACTCGAGATTCAAAGACTGACTATTAAAGAGGATTTGTAACAATCCAGCCTGACCTGGTGGGCTTGCTGCTTCCTGGGACAAGGGGAGGACCAGAGGAGAGAGAGAGGATGTAAGCGGAGTGGCTAGGTCTGCAGGGAGCAGCAGTGGGCACCTTGCTGCTGTCCGCAGGGCAGGGGCCCTCTCAGCATCTCCGGCGCCATGTTCAGCCTGGTGTTTGAGGAGCGCGAGGCCCGGCTGTGGTCCATCTGCCTAGTTGCCGGCGTGGCTGGAGTTTGGTTTGTGTGGTGAAACAGGTATAGATCATACCTCTGAGTTCCTGCCTCTGAGGCCAGGGCACGGGTGCTCCCAGAAGGTGCACAAAATTGGGCTGGTGAAGGATGGTCCATGAAGCCACAGGATAATCTTTGGCCTCTTTCTAGAGCATCTGTTTTGGACGAAGGAGGGAAACATTTTTGTATTAGAGAAATGTGATGGAGTAAGATGTGCAGAATTCAGGAGCTTCAAAGATGCATTGTGAGACTTTAAAGGAAGCTCTTACTTGTACACAAAGGGTGAGCCCCAGCACATGCCCTGTGCTGAGTGTCATGAAGCCCAGAGGGGTTCAGACACACTGCCTTTTTTCACAGCTGCTTTAGGGCATGTGATGGGGGAAGCCCCTCTAGGGTGGGGTTGGAATGGAAGACGAGGGGGAAGGCTGACCTAGGAGTACACTTGCCCTGAAGTCTCCAACTCCATCCATCTCCGGAGCCCTGGAGGAGGAGGAAGGGGTGAGATGGGATGGTCGGGCTGGCAGGGCAGCAGGGGGCGGTGTTCCAGAAGGATCCACCAGGTGGCGCTGCTGCTCCAGCCTCCGAGCCCAGAGTTGTTCCAGTTACTCCCGGTGCCTCACCAGCCCAAAGCCTGTGGGTCTCTCACTCCAATGGGAGCACTGATGAAAATGCAGATTCCAGAGCTCAGGAATTCTGATGCTGTAGTTCTGCGCTGGGGACAAGAAATCTGCATTGTTAATAGCCCTCCGACATGATTCCTACATCATGTTGCTTTAGTTTCCCAGGCCCCGATAAGTTGTAGACCCAAACATACCCCAAAGAGAGATGGAGTTGGAAGGCCCAGGCCAGACAGCCTTGTCTTCAGCGAGGTTGGAGGTGGCACACCTTAGGGACAGTCTAACTCTTGATCTGAACCTAGTTAATTTCTTGTAAGAAGTTTTCGGTGGCTGAAATCCAGGGCCAATACTGGGGGCTGAGAAGCCTTTAAGCTCCATGGGGACTGTGCTCTGCCACCATCAGGGGCCCTCCCTGGAGCTCTTATTTTCAGTGGGCTGAGGGCTCTGAGCGAGGCCATTCCAGCTGATTTTACTTAAACCCCACCTTATTCCACAAAGGAAGTCTGCATGTAATACAATGCAAAACGTAACAGGGAAAATATAAATGTATGAGGCAGGGTGGACTTGGATAAAATAAACGTAGCTGAGTTGCCCAACCTGGCAATGGCAGATGCATGCTCTGCACACAGTGTGGTCTCCATGGCAGTGCTCACAGCACACATCAGTAATTGATCCTTGTTCTCATCTTCTTAGCCCAGATGCACCCTGGGCATGCTTACAGCTGAGCTCACTCACTGCAGCCTCAAGATCCTGCTCCACTCAGCACTTATCGATCAATCTGGTTGGAATGCAAAACAAAAGCAGCTGCCATCCTTGAGCTCTCGTTTAGTGAACTGTACATAATTGTGCCTGTGAGCTTCCCAGTGGTCAAAGCAAAAAAGGAAACCTTTTTGTCAGTTAACTAGCTCTCATCTCCCAGGGATTCCTCATGCCTCGCGACTCGGAAGAATGTGGCTGCCTGGGATGTAGAATTCAAGATCACCCTCAAGCACACAGACCTTGTTAGCCTTTCATGATGGAAGCAAAAAGCATAAATGAGCCTACTGTGTGCCTGACCTTGTGCTGATTATTGGCAGTGAGGACAGAAGTCGTGCCTCTGCCAAGAGGCAGAGACCTAGTGAATGCACACAAAACAGTTGGGCGACAATGTTACATACAGTTGGTGCTTAGGTAGTTCTTGCTGTGTACTAGTACCACTGACATATTAATTGATTTGCCCACTACAGTCCTATGAGGTGCGTGTTTATTGCCATCCCCACTTCACAAATAGGACAATGAAGAACAAGAGGTTAAATAAACCTGAACATTCTGCCATTGCTAAGAGGAGCTAGGAGCCACACCCCGGCCATCTGGTTGCAGACAAGGAATATCTGGGGCTTCCGCTGGACTTGGAGCTGTGTGGGGTAGGGATGGGGTCTGATTTAGCCCGAGGGTCCCTCAGTGCACACGCAGCAATTCCACATCACTACGTCTTGGGAGGGGCACGGCCGCCCATCCCCTTTGCCCTGAGAAGGGCTCAGCCTGTGGGTCCAGCAGACCAGAGTTCCAACAGAGGCTCTGGTGTGTTGCAGCCGAGTGGCCCCTGGCGAACCCCTGCACCTCTGGGAGCCTCCCTTGCCTCATCTGAACGCTGGAATGTTGACAGGATTGTGTGAGGCTCAGGTGACACAAAGGATATACAGTCCTCAGCAAGGTGTCTGTCCCCAGGAACCCTGAATCAGAGGGAGCAACTGTTTCCCTCGGCTTGGCCCTCCTCACAGTACTCCCAGCCGAGCAGACATCTTTCCCGTCTCTCTCTGACCATGGCAGCAGAGGGCACGGGAGTCATAGCGAGGGTGAGGGTCTGCAGGAGGTGAGGACTGAGGGACACAGGGCCCTAGGGGGCAGGTGGCAGTAGAGTCTGGGCTGCCAGACGGCTCAGTTTTTTGCCCTTTACTGATGCCTGCAGAGAGCCCCCAGCCTGACACCTGGGAAAAGTAAGCATGAGGGGAGCTTGGGTGTTGCAGACAGGGGGTGCCGCTGCTCAGACTACTTCTCAGGGTTTCATCAGTACTTGGAGGTGGGAATGATACCCAGGATGGAGTCCGCAATCAGATGAGCAGACAAACTGGGTTAAACTTTCTTTCCCCATGCACATTTCTCCTTCCCACCCCCTTAGGCCTGAGTGGTGGGAAGAATGGGGGTGCTAGGGTGATTTGGGAAGCTGAGAGCCTCCTGCCCAAAGAGCAGAGCATATGTTAGCTAGCCCAGAAGGGAGCAGGACATTTGAGTGGGGCAGGCCCTGATGTCCAGGCCCTGGGGCTGAGGCTAGGTGTCTTGAAAAAGTGGGGGACAAGGGAGACCTGAGGTAACCCTGTCCCAGTCACCTGCTGACCTCCAACTTAAATGGGACAAGCTGAGGGGTGTCAGCTGAAGGTCCCCTCTGTGGCCTTGGCCAGCTCCCTCTTAGGCAGGTGGAGAGAAGGGGAGTATCAAAGTTTCTACCTGGCCTGTCCTCACAGGCTGTGTCATCATGGTGGGGTCCCCTCCCAGCTTCACCCTCAGGCAGGGTACAGGATGCTTCTCGGGATGGCTTTTCATAAAATGCCTTGTCATGTGGAGCTGGGGGGACCTGGGCTTGAATCTAGCTCCACCTCTGTCTTCCTGTGTAGCCTTGGGCCACACAGAGTGGGGGTGGGCTCAAAGCTGTTTGCTAAATACTTGGAGGAGGCTGAGACAATGCCAACAGCCACTGAAGGGGTGGGCTCAGTCCCCCAGCCTGCTTCCTCTGGTAGGTCCACCTTGGGTGGCAGGTCCTACCACTGGAGGCGCCAGAGCCAGGAGTAGAACCACATGGACCTGACTCTAAAGACATCCTTCTGCCTCACCGCCTCCCACACCCTAGATGTTTTGCACCAACCCCAAGGTCGTACCGTGTTGTCAGGCCACGGCGCTAACGTTTGTGAAACCTGGTCACTAAGCTCTGATTGCTGGGCCGCTCACGCCTTCCTCCTGGGAAGGACCCTGTTTCAGTCTGAAGTGCCACAGGGAGGGACCATAGTCCAGCTTCTCTTATTCCTGAACTGGCCCCTAGAGCTGGCCATCCATCCAGACCCCGCGTGCGGCTTCCATGCTTCTTGCTGTTCTCCCTGGGCTGCTGGGCCCGTCGAGCTGCGACCAGGCCTTCTGTGGGGGTGGGGGCCACCCCCAGGCTGCCATTTCTCCACCCATGTCCGGGCCAAAGGACATGCTGCTCAGAGGCCTGGCACGCGGGCCCCACGGTGGCCTGGCTGCTGAGCAGTGGGTGGGAGAAGGCAAGGGTGCCCCTGGGCAGTGCCCACCTACAGGTCCCTGGGGCCGGGCAGGAAGCACAGGTCGATGCCAGCTTGTACGCTGGTCCTTTGGGGAACCAAGGGCAGTGCCCTGGAAGTGTCTAGGAAGCTGGTCGTTGAGGGGCTGTCTGACATGGACACTGACCAATGGGAATGAAGCCATCTTGAGCTGGAATAGGGGCCTTCTGTGTGGCCTGTGGGATTGTTGTCAACCAGTAGAGAAAGATTTCAATATTTTAATAATTGGCATGACTGCATGGGTGAGTACCACTGAATGTCAGTCCAGAGTGTCACACACACACACACACACACACACCCTGAACCCCCCTAAGCACTCAGTCCATTAGCAGGTGTGAAGGATCCCAGCTCTTCTCCTATCAATAGGACTAAGCTGTGGGTGACCAGAGGTGAGCAGGGAAGGCCAAATGTCTACCAACCTGGAATGTTCCAGGCCTGTACTGGCAGAGCACTCCAGCCGCCAACCCCAATCCTATCTGTTTCCCAGCAGAGCCCCCTGTAGCCCCTGCCCTGCGGTCTGCCAGGTGATCCAGTCCCCCAGGCCAAGGAGCAGCAGGGTGAAAGGGGGTCACTAACGACATTGGAATATCCAGCCACCAGGACATCTCCCAGGCCAGCACTGCCACCACCTCCTCCTGAAGAGGGACAGAGACCTAAGTTGCCACACTGCCTCAGGGTAAATATCTGGCTACCCTCTGGGGTCTTTGAAACCTGCGGGTTAAGGTTCATTTCTTCATTCATTCATTCACTCATTCATTCATTCTATGAATCCTTAATGGATGCCTACTATGTGCCACTGCCCTAGGCTTTGAGAGTGCAGCAGTGAA